TTTTTGGGAAGGGAATCTTGGCACTGGGCAGCGGGACCCCTTCCTCCTCCTCCTAAAACATCCTCCTCCCCCTCCCGGCACTGCACCCACCGACTTGTTTCTTCTTCTCCTTGGTCTTGAGGCGGACGATCTGCAGGTAGCTGGTGCTGGTGATGTCCGCCATGATGCTGGCGATCTTGCTCCAGACCCGCAGCAGGGCCCCACACAGCATGTAGTAGTGCCGCAGGCGCATGCCCTGGAAGCACTCCTTCCCCTCGTGCACCAGCTTGCAGGTCCTGTTCCTGCAGTTCAGACGCGAGAAAACCACCGTGTCCCTCCCCCCCCACCACAGCCAGGGACCCCTCCCCAGCGCCAGCTCTGCCCTGGGAAGGGCAGGACAGGTCGGGGCTGCGGGTGCCTTACCAGATGGCATGGTTACAGTTCTTCAAGGAGAACTGGTAGCTGCTCTCCCAGTGCTCCTTGGCTTCCTCGGGCAGCACCTGCAGAAGAAACACACAGCAATCGAGATCTTCCACTGTCCAACACGCACCTGAGGCTTCAAATCCAGGGCTGGGAGCCAGGACACCCGGGTGCTACCGCTGGCTCTGCCCAGGCCACAACAGGGCTATGGGAGGTGTGAAGGGGTTACAGCAAACGTCCTTCCACAGCCACCCCCGCCTAAAGAGGCTTTTCCCTCTCCCCGCACTGGAAGGCTGCGGCCCCCGCCTACCCGCCGGTACTTCTTCTGCAGACTGTCCAGGCTCTCAGGCTGGCTTTGCTTCCCGATGTTGGGCTTGTAGAGGATGAAGTTCTTCCCGCGGCTCTGCTCTGCCAGCAGACAGGTGTGCTTGCAGCCTCGCATCTGTCGGGGTAGAGCTGACGGTTACAGTCACAGCCTCTCTCCTCAAGCCCTTATTTCTCTAAACTAACCCTCTTCCTTCCAGGATGGAGGGTCTTGGAGGCATCTCCTAGTCCCCAGCAAGAGGTCAGACACAGACCTCTTACAGCTGTGGCAGATCTTCTTCCCTAGGAGTCACCCTCCAAGCTGAGATGCCACCCTGGCAGAGCCCAGGGACCTACCTTGTAGGAGAGGTAGAACCCATCAAAGGATCCTGTCAGTTTGAGAGACTTCTCATAAGCTTCCTCCCACTTTAAGCCTCTGTCGACACTGATCTGAACAGGGACAAAGAGGATTCTGTAATGTCACGGGGCAGGACACCTGCATCAGTGTCTGTCTCACAGATCCCACCCTCAACACACTCGGTGCTGCTGCAGCCTGGAAGAGGCACTGTCAGATTGCCCACCCGGGTACGGCAGCCCCAAGCCCCCGGGGCCTCTCCTTGCCACCTCTGTGCAACTCCATGACACAAAGATGACACAAGGCCACGGGGCAGGGACCCAGCAGCTCGCAGCCCCAGGCTGGGAAGCCCTGGAGAAGACTGAACCGCAGAGATAGCTGTGCAGGCTGCCTACCTTATAAAACACGACCTGCCCATCCTGCGGGTGCCCAGGGGTCAGGAAGACCTCCTTGCTCTCCTCATAGATCTCATCCACTCCTGGAGCTAAATCTATAGCAGGAGGAAAGACCAAAACACACGGCAGCTGTAAGATCCATCTTCCTGTCCCACCGCCTCTCCCTGTAAGAGCCTTGGGATCTGCGCTGCGCGGGGACACCGCAGTGCCCGAGACAGCCACAGTGTTGGTGCAGGCTGGAACAGCCGTCAGTCAGCACAGGGAGGAGCAGGGAACCTCAGAGCTGCAGTCGGGAGAGATCTGGCCACCTCTCTTTCTCCTTACCGAGGATGCCCATGTCGTATTTGCCCTCCTTCTTGTCCTTTTCAATCAGATAGTCAAAGGTGTCAGAAAAATACTGGAAGAGCATGTTCTGCTTGTCCACCTCCAGCCCCAGGATGCGGTTCAGGAACTTGGTGATGGAGCAGTCTGCAAGAGCGCGGCGGGTCAGGGCACACCGCGCAGCTGGGCATGGCACCCCCAGCACGCTCTCAAAGAGCCACCCACCAAGCCACCCGTCGGGCCCTCCGGCAGCAGCCCAGCGCTAAGGCACAAGAGAGCAGCCCTTGGGCTGCTGCTCCCGGCTGTGGTCAGCTGCCCGGCTGCTGCGGGGGAACGCCGCC